TGGAATGGTAAAACAACCAACATCTGAATCAAGTGAATTTACAATGAGTTCTGAAGATTTTCCAGCATTACCAGGAACGCAAAATAGAGAAGGGCCATCACCAGGTGGAAGTGTTTCTGGGGATAAAAATATACCTGTTGGACTTGGACCTGAAATTGGTCAAGATGTATTACAGGCAAACAGAGCACCAGGATCTGAAAAATCTCAATCATCTAAAAGAGGCATACAAACATCTCCTGATGGTATTAACTATTACAATGTGGAATTTAATATAATCAGTTTTATAATTACTGGATTGTTGAATTTTTCACTTGAAATTTTTATTTAATAATATTTTATAAAAAAGTGTTATGCGATTTTGTTTTATTTTATGTAACTATTTACCATTGCATTTTTTAGGCAAGGTGACTAACATACCAGCAAGCATGGTAAAAGATCAGTTTGGAATAGTTGGACTTTTGACATTTATTAGAGCAGCTGAAACAGATCCGAATTTAGTATCTTTGGCATTAGGTCAAGATTTAACTGCGTTAGGATTAAATCTTAATTCACCAGAAAGTCTTTACCAAAATTTTGGTGGACCTTGGGCAGAAACACCATGTCGACCTCAGGATATTGATTTTCATGTACCGCCAGAATATCTTATTAACGCTACTATCAGGTATTTTATTTTATTATGTTTATTTCTTTGATTCTAAAAGCATTATTATAGTAATTAAACTCACATTATGCTTATTTTAGAGATAAATTAGCACCAGTTAAATTAAATAGATACAAGGATGATCTACTATTTTATATATTTTATACAAATGTTGGAGATGTGTTGCAATTAGCAGCAGCAGCCGAGTTGTAAGAACTTTTTATATCAAAATTTTTTAATGTTTATTATTAAATTTGAGTAACATGTATATATTTAATTATAAAGGTACAGTAGAGAATGGAGATACCATATGGAAGAGAAAGTTTGGATAACACAAGCACCGGGATTGGGACTTGTAGAAAAAACATCAACATATGAACGTGGTACTTATTATTATTTTGATGCGCAAAGTTGGAGAAAAGTAGCAAAAGAATTTCATTTGGATTATACGAAACTAGAGAGTAGACCTCATCTTCCCACAAACTTTCACCAAACCCAGCCTTGACTACAGGTATCTAAAAGGATACAATTTTAGTTTATTATTTATTTAACTATATTTAGGAAAGGATTATAAATATTTATATAATTGAAGAACTTGTATTTATTTCAGATCTGCTTGCAGACCATTGTACTGTCTTTAAGCTGAACAGGAAACAGCTATTGTATAAATGAACAAATTTAATAATCTTTAATAAAAACATAAAATTTTAAGAGTAAAGAAATGAAGTTCTTTAATTACTAACTTGCAATTAAAAATGGCAATGAGCCCAAGTTTATTATCGACATTGATATGATAACGATTTTGATAATATATTTTGGTGATAGCATACATTTTAAATATTTAGGTGTTTATATGTAGAATAAAGTACTTTTTGATGATATAGAGATGATTAATATCTTTGCAATGTATATAATAAAAATAAGAAAATGTTGTAATACTAAGCAAAATTTGGCCATTCAAGTAAGTCAAAAAATAATATTTTCATATATTTTATATTTACGATTATTTATTATTTAAGAACGTAGAATTTTTGAACTACTTCTTCAAAACTTAATTTACTTTTTATAAAATGTTCATGGATTAATTTGACTTTATTATTTGACACAACTTATACAATACATTGATATGTAATGTAAATTATAGAAGATGTAAGAGAATGTCTGAAACAATATCTTTAATTTAAAAGTGAACAAAACATAGTAAAGATCGCTTTGTTTAATATTGCATCTTCCAAAATTTTTAAATTGTTTAAATTGTTTTTATCAAAATCCATATTTTAGCATAACGAAATTGGTAACTATATAAAAAGTTCAATCATATTATACAGGGTGTTTATACCAGCATATGTGCCCCCTGGAATAGTGTTACTTTGTTCTATAACAATTTTTTTTATCTAAAATCCTAACAGAGGTATTAAGCGTTACGTTTTTCGTAACTCACTCTGCGCGTATTGCAATAATGTTCCGATAACTTCTCGCAGTTCTAAATCGACGACGAGAACTTATCGCAGCTTTGACTTGAATTTTCCTTTCAGGAATTGTCTAAACGCGGCATGAAATAGCCTACTCTTAGGACGATCGATGAGAGAGACAGAAAATAAGAGTAAGCAAAACAGCAAATATGTTTGCCGAAGCTCGAAGCCGGCGAAGGATGTCATGACTACAATGTATGAAAAATTAAAATATTTATAATTGTTATTTCATCTCAATGAAAAAGTCTTTAATGGGCTGCCAGAATCTTGATGAAAATGAAATTAAATGCGGCTTTAATCGAATTATTTTGAATTAGTAATGTACAAGATGTAAAATTAGCCATGGACACGGTTTTCATCGGTGGAGGTCTATTAAAAAGAGTTGCCGAAAAATTGTTTATAACAATAAAAATTAATGTCAATTTTTTTAAATTTCTACATATTCGGGAAAAGCTGAAATGTTTGGAATGAATAACATGTCACAAATACACAGTTTTTGCACGAATGAAGTTGTGTAAGCAAGCTTTTTCAAAACTACATGGTTTATTAACAAAGAAAGCTTAAGATTCAAAAATGTTAGCAATAATAACAACTGCGCGTTGTACTTATGAATACCTTTACAAATTGAAAGAGTAACATGAACAAATTCTCTTCAAAGAATAAAATGATTTTCTTTAAAAGACAAGACAAATAATCTACAAATAGTAATTTCAACACTAACCACTTCTCACATAAATCCATTATTACCATTCCACTTACGATCTTCCTACATAAGATTTATAAACGTCGTACGGAAGTGTTGCAATGGTAGAATATTAAATTACTATTAATTAAATACTTTTAATTAATAATCTAACATTAATTACCTTTTAGTACTAATTGAAGACGTGATTTTGTAGTGAGAACAATCATTTAATTTATATTAGACTTGTTCATAAATGAAGAAGCGCTTAACACTGCGGCCCGTGCGGAACCGTCGCGCTTTTTTATACCAAAATATCAAAAGTATAGTACCGCACGTACTCCACGCATTTTTCGGTGTTTTCTGATTATATAAATGCTGATATAACAAAAATTGTTAAAGTCAAAGCACCCGGACTCTTTTTATTGTAAAGTTCATAATCTTCTCCATTAGTAAACACTGAAATTTTTAACTTCTGCATATGTTGTTTTCTTTCTCAGATAATCAACGATAATGGTCTATTTCTAACTGTGAAAAGTCAAACATAGGTGTAATTGGTTTTTTAAAAGTATAAATATAATTTAATAATTTTAATGTGATGAAATAGAATGTAGACATTTTAAATATTATTCAAATATATTTTTTTGTATGGTACACCTCAGAACAATATTCTAAACATAAATCTACAAGACACTGAGCACAGTAATAGTAAGTTTCTTTTTACATTGCGTTTCCGGTTTGTACGCTTTTTTATCCTGTTTGCAACTGCTTTAATGTTGCTAAGTAATGTTTTGCTCATGTTTTTAACGCTATATATGCATGTAAACAAACGCATTTGTACATTGATAAAGTCACGTTGCCGACTGCGACAGCATTATGTCGTTGGCGGTCCGCAAAGTGTTAATACGATACTGTATCTCTTGGCACCGTATCATATTTGTAGTTCGGTACACGCAACATGTAACACGAAGCCACTAGTGCTCATATAGTTGGTGGAAGCGATATAGGGATCGTGAATTAAAGCATTAAACGGCGATACCAATTGATGTAGGCACACCCAGGGCCGTGAACCATTTGTAAATTGATATTATTTAAAATTTTTGCTAACGATCTTTCGTTTAAGTTATATGGTATTAAACATTTATCGCTTCCTACTCAATAGCAATTTCCGCATTGGTAAAAATTAACATGCAGCTGTCAAGGATTAAGGTTCAGACAAATTTTTTAAATATATTGTAGTGGCAGAATCAATTCCGAATTGACATCGAATGGTCCTGAACGAGATTCGAACTCCTTATCTCTCTCAAACTGCTGTTTTGGGTACTCCGATTATGTATACTCTGATGCTTGTCTGATTTTACGACCTTTTGATATTGCTTCCACTAACTGTATGTATACTATGAACGATATTGTAAGCTTCAGACCGCGATCACACAAATGTTGAGGCAATAGTTGTGGCTGCAGTTATACGGGTGTTGATTTTGTCGTCCGTAACTGAGAAAAATTTCTCACATAGACGGTAGGTATCCATACGAACAAGGTGGATGATATAGACTGATCCAAAGCTGTACATTCATCTTTAAAAGTCATATTAATCCATGATTAATTTTTATATTCTGCACATGACTAACTTAAAACAGTCCAATTGCGATTGTGTTTGGACTTATTTGCAATATAATTCATTACTTGAATTTATTTGCAATACAATCCATTAAAAACTTTTCCATTAAGATGAAATAACAATTATAAACATTTAATTTTTCCTACATTGTGGTCATGATTCATCCTCTGCCGCCTTCGAACGTCGAGCATAGCACTTGCTCGAGGTACTTCCAAGAAATGGTGGGTGTAATTCGTGAGCACTTATAGAAACATTTTTACGAGAAATTATCCGAGCATTACTTTATTGAAAAATTTGAAAATGTAAAAAATTAAATAGAAATGAACTTCTTAAATTTAACTGTACTTTATTTTTAAATTTTCCAGTAAACGACATGATTTATTTTTATTATTATATAAAT